CTGATGAAGTACATGTATCTAGATTCTTGAAGACATGGGTGTTGATCAGAAAAGAATTTGTTTACTCGAACTTTCGTAATTGTTCGGTTGTGATTTTTCAGTGGAAATATTTGGGTGGCTGCAATTGGTTTTATCGACATACTAAGTTCTCAGAATGATCGATTTATTGGCAGCGTTTGGCTTTCCATGGATGCTCATGAGCATAAGAAAAGGGCCACACGTTTTTTGATCAGTGAGAATTCAGAAGCTGATATACATAAGTTGATCTGTTAATGGAGATGAGCCTACTTATTGGAGTTTTAGCACTGACATATTTGTCTTCTTTTGTTTCCCCTGATTCACAAGGTATTATTCTCATGCCTTTTTTTTTTTTGTGATATTTCATCTTCGTCCTCGATAATAATTTTCAGTTCCAGGTGCCGAATGCTTGCTTCATGCTTAAATGTGATGAATTACTTGAGATTCATTTGTGTATGAACATATGCAGGTTTTTAGTTGAACATGCATAAAAATGTAACATCAATGGCTGAGATGGATTTTTTCAGTCTTTTCGAACCTCTTCTTTTGTTGGTAAATGGTAAATATAGCACAAAGTTAGAAAAAAGAGGGAAAAAAAAATCTGTACTCGAGATTCCTTTTTCAAGAGTATGAGCTGGAAATAAATGTGATTTACGCTTCTAAATTCTCAGTTGCGTTTTTCTGTGTACCAGATTTATTAACCGAAGGCCATTTCTGTTATTAGTTTGGCATGGTCAATTTATGTATTTGAACTCACGAAGCTAAAAGGGAAATTTGAAGTCGCGACATTTTAGTTTTTACCATTCTACATCTCGAAAGATGAAATTTTCATTCATTTTATGTTCTCAAGTGTTTTATAAACATCATAAGATTCTTTATTCAGTATGACCTTCGCACAGCTTCACTAATACATTACATTATGTGATTTTTCAAGGAGATGCGTTGTACGCTTTGAGGACTTCACTTAATGTTTCAGCCAATCAGCTCACGGATTGGAATCCAAATCAAGTGACTCCCTGCACTTGGTCGAAAGTTACGTGTGGCGAAAATAACAGTGTAATATCAGTGTAAGAAATATTGGAGATTGTTCTGATCATTCAATTGATTACTATTGTTGAAGTTTGTTTGACATTGTGTGTGATTCATGGGAGTGTTAGCGAAGAATGTAGAAGAAGTGTTTCTTTCTAGTGGGTCTGAAAGAAATAGTTTTATGAGTTTTGAAATGCCAAAGATTAACTCTAATGAAAACAAGCTTGTTGAATTTCTTAATAATTATTATGCTTCTATTATGATTTAACCCAAAAAAAACAAAGAACAAAAAACACTAACAACTTATTCACTAAACAACTCTTACTCACCTTATTCCACTTTCAGCCGTTAAATTTCATCTTCAAATTACTCAGTTTTTAGTTTTCCTCTGTAAATACTTACAACTACTGATTCTCGATAATTTTTAGCTTCCACTACAGTAAATGAACAAATAGAAGTCTTTGTATCTGTTTATGTGCTTCATAACTATGACATGGTATATCTTCTTGATCTTTATTTATTTATTTATTTATCTTTTTCTCTTTTTGGCCAGGGTGCTGCCTTATTTGGGATTCTCTGGAACCTTGTCACCAAGAATAGGGGAACTGAAGGCACTTACGACACTGTATGTATTGTGAAATTCATGTTCTAGTGCTTATGTTGATTTAAATCTGGTTATCTCATTTGTATTTTTATGAAGTTTGAGATGGTGGGTTTTTTTACCATATGTGCTGTTCCTCTTTTTTTAAGCAGTTGGGCTATAATATTACAAATTGTTGGGATAATTTAGTTGGTTTCATTTCTTTTAATTTTTTTAACTCTTCAATGCAGCGACTTGCAAGGAAATGGCATAACTGGTGAAATACCCAAAGAGATTGGAAATTTGACAAGCTTGAGTATGTTGAATCTCGAGAATAATCAGTTAACTGGAGAAATACCGTCTTCCCTTGGAAGTCTCCGGGAGCTCACATTTCTGTAAGCATGCATAAAGATATCACTTTTTGTCATAACTTTTTTTTTGTTGTTTTCTATTTTATGTGTAATCAAAATAAGATTCGATTCTTCATATCACAGGATTTTGAGTCAAAATAATCTTTCTGGATCAATTCCGGAATCACTTGCGAGCCTTCCAAACTTGACTGACCTGTAAGCCATTTATCATGAAATTATTTAATATGTTTTTGGTGTCTTTGTTTTACACAGATATGTGTTTCCATGTTTGCTAACTACTACATTTTATCATATGTATGAAACTTGTTTTATAGCCATCTTGATTCAAATAATCTCAGTGGGAAAGTACCCGAGCAGTTGTTTGATGTTTCCAAATACAAGTATGTTTCATTTTAATTCTATCTGTTTGTGGCTGTATTTTGTGCTTACGTAAATGAATACCAATTCAGTCATTTGAGTTTGCTTCTTTCAGTTTGTCGGGGAACCATTTGGATTGTGGAATCAAACCTTTTCCCTCTTGTGAATCTATACATGCAGGTATGTTTTATTACTAATTAAACTACAAAAACTACCCCATGCAATTCAGTATAAACGACACCCAACCGATTCTCCATGTTCGAATGCAAAAATTTGAAAGACAACAGTTTCTCTCTTCTTTTTTTTTCTTTTTTTTTATTCTTGCTTTTTTTTTTGTGTGTGTGTGTGTGCATTTAAATATACTTAAACTGGGGGGACATTTTGAAACGAAACCTTAGTTACATTAATACCCTGCCAGTGAGGGTGTGCCTTTAAGCTATGTATATATCATTGTTGTTTGAGTTCGTATTTTAAGAATACTCGAGGGTTAAGTGGTTCAGGCGATTGATCTACTATCACTTAATGCTTCATTTGCAGGTCGCAAAAGTAAACCAAAGACCAGTATGATAGTTGGAATTACTGTTTCACTTGTGGTTATTCTCATACTTGGAAGTTACCTCGTGTTCGTTTGGTGGAAGGGTGGGAAAAGAGGCCTCAGGGGAGACGTTTATGTCGATGTTTCAGGTTCATCCTCATTAGATGAATACAATCACCAGCATACAACAAGTTCTTTGACAAAGTTGTAAAATAATTAATATAACTTTAGGCCGATAGCAAAATGGTTTCTATAAGACAAATAATTAGATGTTAACATTGTCGAGCAATCTCAATAAAATTTCCATGTGCTCAGGCGAAATTGACCGGAGAATCGAATTTGGTCAGCTGAAGAGATTTTCGTGGCGGGAACTGCAACTTGCTACTGGCAACTTTAGCGAAGACAATGTTCTTGGGCAAGGTGGATTCGGGAAGGTATACAAAGGGGTTCTTGCAGATGGCACAAAAATTGCCGTGAAGCGCTTGATGGATTACAAGAACCCAGGTAGCGAAACAGCTTTTCAGCGAGAAGTCGAGATGATAAGTGTTGCCATCCACAGGAACCTTTTAAAGCTCATCGGCTTTTGCACTACCCCTACTGAGCGCCTCTTGGTTTACCCTTTCATGCAGAACTTGAGCGTTGCATCTCGCCTCCGAGGTATGTATATTCTTATTTTGAGTTAGATATCGACTAACCATTTTTTTTCTCGATTTAGTATTTTTTTTTGGTTGATCTTGTTTTGTGTTTTGTTTTTGTTGCGACTTTTTCAAACAGATCTTAAACCGGGGGAGCCCATTCTGGACTGGCCGACCAGAAAACGAGTGGCGCTGGGGACGGCTCGTGGGCTAGAGTACCTTCACGAACAGTGCAATCCTAAAATCATCCATCGTGACGTGAAAGCTGCGAATGTTTTGCTCGACGAGGATTTCGAAGCTGTTGTGGGTGATTTCGGGCTGGCCAAATTGGTGGACGTGAGAAAAACGAACGTTACTACTCAAGTGCGCGGGACGATGGGCCACATTGCTCCCGAGTATCTGTCGACTGGGAAATCATCGGAGAAAACGGATGTGTTTGGGTTCGGGATGATGGTGTTGGAGCTTGTGACTGGGCAAAGGGCTATAGATTTCGGTCGGTTGGAGGAGGAAGACGATGTTTTGCTGCTGGACCATGTGAAGAAGATGCAGAAGGAGAGAAGGGTGGAAGAGATTTTGGATCCTAATTTGGGTAAGAAGGATGGTGATGTGATGAGTGAGGTAGAGATGATGATTCAGGTGGCCTTACTGTGCACCCAAGGGATGCCGGAAGATCGGCCGGTTATGTCTGAGGTTGTGAGGATGCTGGAGGGTGAAGGTCTGGCAGAGAGGTGGGAGTTGTGGCAGAACACGGAAGTGACGAGGAGGGTGGAATACGAGAGGCTACAGAGGAGGATCGATTGGGGTGAGGACTCGGTTGGCATGCTGGACGCTGTCGAGTTATCTGGCGGGCGATAACGGGCTCTACTTATAATTAAGCACTTCTCTTTCTTTCTCTCGATATATCATGAATTCTTGATTGCTGCCTTATTTTATATCATCTGCATCTCTCTCTCTCTCTCTCTCTCTCTCTCTCTCTCTCTCTCTCTCTCTCTTTTATATCATCTGCATGTCGCTCTCGCTCTCTCTCTTTTTTTTTTGGGTGCTTTTTTAGTTTATTCACCGTGTAAGAGTAACTATAGTTTCTTTGCAAATGTCCTGAAAGAAAATTTATTTGACCTTTCCTCACCAAAAAAAAAAGGGACAGAAAAAAATGGTCACTTTTTGTATAAAAAGATTGTTGACGTGTGCATGCTCGTGTTACATTTTATCCGCATTTCATTCTGTTTTTTTTCTTTCTTTTGTTCTGTAAGCGTTTTATCTTTAAAACGCACTTGCACTTTCATTTTCCTTTTGCGTTTCATTTTAGTTGGGGCTCTACACGTGTTCAGCTATTATTGGTCATTATGGATCATGTATATTGTATGTGTGTGAGCTTCTTCTTCAGACGGTTAGGTTGAACTTTGTTAGCTCGATTTGCAGAGCTTTAATGGCGAAAATGTTTTCCTATTTTTTGTCTCAATTTCTTCTGCGTTTGTTTTCTAAATTCTACATGGTACCAGAGCGGGTTCAATAAGAAATCATGGCGCGCAACGAAAATCGAAAGGAAGACCAAGGAAGAGAGCTCGCTACCAGATCCAATTACTCTCGCGACATAGATCCGCTGTCACTTCATGGATCCGATCATCCTGGCTTGGTGCTTGTTACCAACCTGCTTACTGGCACAAATTACCTCCATTGGAGCAGAGCTATGAGGTTAGCTTTAGGTGCTAAATCTAAACTCGCTTTTGTGTATGGAACTGTGGAAGTGCCTGAACAGAATACTGAAGAGTATGAACAGTATCAGAAAGTTGAATTTATGGTAATATCTTGGTTGATTAATTCGATTTCCAAAGAAATAGTTGAAGCTTTTATGTATGTTAAGACTGCAAAGCAGCTTTGGGATGAACTGGCAGAAAGATATGGAGAGAGTAATGGACCACTGAGGTATCAGCTCCAAAAGGAGATTGCAAATTTTGCTCAAGGTTCTTTATCGGTTACAGTGTACTACACTAAGCTGAAATGTCTTTGGGATGAGCTAGCTTGCCTGGTAGTTCTGCCTGATTGTATGTGTGGTGCTGCAAAAGCATTTGCTGAAAATGACATGGAAACTAAGCTGATGCAGTTCCTATTAGGCCTGAATGAAGTTTTTGAACCGGTGAAGAACCAAATTCTTCTAATGGATCCATTGCCTACAATAAATAAGGCTTACTCTATGATATTGAAGGTAGAATAACAAAAAAGCTTGATCCACAGTACTTCAGATCCTCTTGAGACTTCTGCTATGATGGTAAAAGGCAACTTTGGTAGAGAAAATGACAGAAATCAGAACTTTGTTAGAGGAGGATTTGGAAGAGGAGCTGGGCAGAATTATGGAAACTATGGTAGGGGAAGAGGTCAAAGGTTATCTAAAGAGGAGAGATCAAGGCTGTTTTGCACACATTGTAGATATAATGGACATGAAAAACAAGGTTGTTTCAAACTCCATGGATACCCTGAGTGGTACAAAGAACTCAAGGAACAAAGGCAAAATCAATCCATAAACTTAGCAGACAGTGAAGATTCCAAAACAGACTCTGAAGTGAAATCTCAACACAGTGAAGGTGCTACTGACATTGGTTTATTGCCAAGGGAGGTGGCAAAATATCTTTCAGCTGGTCAGGGAGGAGAAACTCACTCATTCTCACACTTTGTTGATTCCATTGGTAACAGGGAGGACTATGCATTTTCATTGCTAAGCAATTTAAAAAGAGGAAGTTGGATTGTGGATACTGGGGCAAGTAGGCACATCTGCTCAGACATTGCCTTAGTTCATAAATCCTATCATATTGGCTTGCCTGTTATAGTTAATCTTCCAGATGGAACAAAAATTGAAGTTAATCAAGTGGGTGAGGTCAAACTGAC